AATACCGGTATTACCGGTTACCGGCCTTAGGTACGGTACAAAAACACACAAAATACCGGATTTTCGGTAATACCGTTTTGTACCGGTATTGTACCGTAAATACCGGGAAAACCGGTCCAAAATACCGGCCATGAAAAAAAAAATTAAAAAAAAAATAAAAAATATTTTTTTTAATTTAAAAACATAAAATTTAAATTGGTAGTTAGAATGTTTTATTTTATTTCATTGGTAAGTTAAAATTAATGATTATGATCATTTATTTTTTATTTTTTTTGTATTTGGTATTATATATTTTTATAAATAAATATATATATTATTATATTTGCTAGTCCGGTAATACCACCGATATTACCGGTCGTACCGGTAATACCGCGTACCGGTGGGTAGACCGGTATGGCCACCGGTACGGTATTTAAAACACTGAATCAAACATCTTCTTCTCTATCTATTTCTGGAAAACATTGCTCAGGTACTCCTTACTGCATATCTGATTTTTTATCTGTTGATCATCTATCTACTGAACATGCTTGTTTTACTGCTGCCATTTCTGAAAATGTTGAACCCAAAACTTACAAACAAGCAATTAAGAATCCTCTTTGGCAAGAAGCCATGAATAAAGAAATAAAAGCTTTGGAGAAAACAAACACTTGAGTTCTTACTGATTTGCCTAATGGTAAACATTCTATAGGTTGTAAATGGGTTTACAAAATTAAATACAAATCTGATGGTAGTATTGAAAGATATAAAGCTAGACTAGTAGCAAAGGGGTATACCCAAGAAGAGGGCATTGATTATTTTGATACTTTTTCCCCTGTTGCTAGAATCACTACTGTCAGACTTGTTCTTGCTATTGCTTCCATTAAAAACTGGCATCTCCATCAGTTAGATGTCAATAATGCTTTTCTCCATGGTGATCTTGATGAGGAAGTCTATATGATTCCTCCACCTGGTTATCTTAATGATTCTGATACTAGAGTCTGTAAATTGATCAAGAGTTTATATGGCTTAAAACAGGCTTCTAGACAGTGGTTCAACAAATTGACTACCTGTTTACTTGCATATGGTTTTACTCAATCATCAGCTGACTGCAGTTTATTTACCAAATCATCTGATTCTTCATTTCTTGCTTTATTAGTTTATGTAGATGACATTATATTGGCTGGTAATTCTCTGTCTGAAATTCAAGCCATAAAATCTCATTTAGATGCATGTTTTACCATAAAAGATTTGGGCATTTTAAAATATATCTTGGGATTAGAGGTAGCTCATTCTGAAACTGGGATACACTTAT